TTCACACACTTATTTAACTCTCTCATACAGGTAGGTGACAAATAAGGGTTTGAATCTAACTAGAGCTAAGATTTATATTTTTATTTGATTAAGTCATGATTTTTTTGCAAAGCTTCAGTTAACGATTAATTCATAAGAATTATTCAATCATTAATAAAAACATTATCAACATGATTCATGGAGCATCATTACCAACTCTTGAATGGTTATGAATAAAAAGATGTGAATCTATCAAGAAAATGATTTTTGATTGATTAATGAATGAGTTGTCATTAAGAAGAGGATGATCTATTGGGAGACAAGTTGTCACATCCTGAGATTATACTAAATGAGATGAAGAGCCTCCACTTATCATGTCAATCTAAAGATAAAATTCTTTAAGACATGTCTCATTTTCATCCAACTTATCTCTATCGGGTGACAACTGTTGGTGATCCAAAAGTTATCATATTATTGTTCTACTGAGTGACAACTGCCGAAAATGATTTATCAACTTATTTCATTTATTTTTAAACTTCACAAAAAGATTTAAAGATTGTTCACATTGTCCATATCTAAGAAAATCTTTTGTAGCTATGGAGATCACACAATAATATATATGAACATATAATTGTAATGATTGCCATTGCAAAGTCAGAATTTTACCTTTTTTACCTTAAACTTAATTTTTATTTAAATTCGTGTGATTTTCTATGATTTCAAGTGTTGGAACATCCCCCTCTATGTGGCTCACTTAGGCTTATTATCTCTCTCTCATCTCTCACCTATATAATAAACACATATGTCTCTTCATTTGTAGTTAATGTAATCTTAAAGTTCAACCCTTCTCGTCAATATAGTATGAGAGTCCTAAGCTTCTTTCTAGCTGCCGTCACCACCATAGTGTCACTATTGTCGTATTTGCCATCCTCATCATGTTGTTGCCGCCACGTTCTCTACATGATCTCCTCTCACTCTCTCTACTTGACATCCTCTACTACGTGTTGTCATCTGTTGTGTTTTGTCAAAATCTGCCACTACACCATGCACGATTAGCCGTCGGCACTTGCCCTTCTACTGCAACCCCCTACCACCAATTAAACGTGTCTAATGCCTTCTTTTATGACAACTTGGATGAGTAAGTTTTCATGGAGCAACTTCCAAGATATGTTGCTCATGAGGAGTCTTCTCAAAGTTACTTGCTTCAACATTTATATACGGACTCAAGTAGAGCCCTCAAGTTTGGTTTGTGAAGTTAAGTGACCTTCTTTCTACCTTCAACTTTACTCTATACATTGCTGACCCCACTATCTTGACAAAGATCACACCTAGAGGTATAATCATTATAATCGTGTATATTGATGACATTCATGTGACATGGAGTCATGAGGTAAGCATCTCTACAACCAAAGCCTACATGTACTAAAACTTTCACAAGAGACTTGAGGACACCGCACTACTTACTTAAGATAAAATTTACTTAGTAGTTAAACAAGTTAGCTTTATCTCAAAAGAAATATAATCTCGACTTTCTTCAAGAAATATGACTTCTTGGTTGCAAATCAAAGTCATCACCTATAGAGGCACGTCTAAAGTCTAGGATATTGCTTCACTTTTGATGAAAGATGTTAATCACTATCGATGATTATTCTTCATTTAATTATGATTGTTTTAACTTTTATAAATTTTAATTTGATCAATTAAATCATATATAACTATTTACATAACAATCATCGAGTATAATTTTTTTTACTCTATTCACGTTTGTCGGGGTATTGATGTCATACTGACATCCACACCTGAATTTTCTTCTTTTATGAATTTTTTAAATATATTTTTATCTTCATCATTTAGTATAAAAATTATAAAAAAAATATTCTTTGAGAAAAATTATGAAATCCAACCATATATTATCTTATATCCCTATACTTGACCCAAAAATTTCTCAGTATTTTTGAAGTAATTTTGATAATTATAATATATTTATTTGTGATAAAATATTTTTAAAAATTGGAAAATTAATATTTTCTAGTTTATAGCTTTTAAATTTATATGATTTATTATACAAGGATTAGGTCACGTCAAATAAAAATTATATTTGATAGGAAGAATAGTTTATTTAGGTAAGATCAACCAAGTTCACCTTAGTTATGATTTGGTTGCAATGACCACCGTAGCTCTTGGTCAAAGAATGATCGAGACGACCACCGTCACCTCTGATCAAGGGGTTGGTAGTGAGGACCCCATCACCTTGGTAGAGTTGGCCGTGAGGACCCTGTCGCACTAGTAGGTTGGTTGCGAGGACCTTGTCATCCTAGTAAGCTTGGTCGTGAGGACACCATCACCTCGGTTGGGTTGGTCGTGCGGACACTGTGGTCCCGATCAGTGCTTGCAGCCTGATATGTCTCTATCACATGTCCTTCGGCCGCCGCCGCCCTTCTTGCTTCCTCTGCTCCACCCCCGATAAACCACCTCATTGTTGCCATCCCCCTCCAGTGCTGCCGTCCTGCTTTCCAGCCACCTCGTTGTTGCCATCCCCTCCGGTGCTGTCATCCCACCTTCCAGCTAGTTCATCATCACCAGAACCAGCAATTGTCTATCCATTGCCACTATCATTGTCATCGCTGCTGCCATCGCCATGGCTGCCTTCTCTCTCTCTTCCCACACGAATTGTTGGGTTCCCCTCCTCTTTCCAACAAGTAAGGGTTGAAAAGGAACTAACTTGCGACACCTTGAATTGGCCTGAACAGGATCGGCTCAGCTTTAGCTGATTGCCCAACAGTCTAGTTTGTGTCCAACTGTCCTGGTGCAAACCATCTCGGGCCCTTGGTTCAAACCAGCTCCTCCTGCTGGTCAGGTTTCTGCCATGCCACCTCATCCATGGCAACTGCTCCATTGGTTCGAGCCTGTCCAGGTGATCAACTCGTTCAGCCTTGTCAAAAGTCAGCAGTCAAATGTCAATAAATCAACTATTACATCAAGTCACAGTCAAATCCTACAACAAGTCAGGCCCACCAAGTCCATAAGCGGGTTGTTCTGCATTAGTATTTCTACGATGGAATAATGGAACCAAGGTAGACTTTTTTGAAGTGAATGTAGGCCAGAGTTTGGTTAAATAACTCTAAGATCAAATGTGTACAAATTTGTCTTAATTTATTTCATATATATTAATACTTAAAATATGAATATAATAATATCATAAAACTAAATAATTTTTCTTATATTGAATGAAATGAAAATTAAAAATTAATTCTCAAACCCTCTTGATTTAACAAATTTTTCTTATATTTAATTATTATTATATCACTGGAGTGATCCACAAGCAATTACCATCCTTTTGGAGGACTTGGTTTCTCTCATACACAAATTGTCTTCGAAGAGCATGTTCTTTTAGGTTGTAGTTGATGACTTGTTATCCTTCTTGTTGAGATGAATTCATTTAATTGATGTATCTTTCTAGCATTTATTGATAATACCAAGGTCAATACATATCTCTTTCTATTTATTCTGGTGGAGGGGTTCCATGGAAGCCAAGGAGCTCATTAAATCTTCTTCACAACAATGTGGCACTCTCTAATTTTGAAATACCATTTTATTTTTCTCATACATGCAAAAACTTGATTAATCTTTTGATTTCTTCTGCATCTAACAGCACAAATGGCAGAATGTTTTCTTATATCAATGTTTGTTTATTTTCATTATGCTGCATCTTTGTCTTAGCAACCAAATTATGAATAAATTGATTTCCTTAACATTGAACGCCTCGATCTGATTATTTGGCACCTAAATTCTTGACTTTCCTCTTACTAATATAACTCAGGTCTTCGTTGCGTGATTAAGATGCATTGTTCTGCTTCTTTTCTAATATCTTTTGAATTATAAAGATTCCCAAGTGGGAGCAATTTAGAGGACCGAGTGATTTATACCCTGTCATTCTATCTCATTGATGCTTCCTCCATGAATTGGGTTTCTTTTTCCCTTCCAATTTTCAGTGCTGTTCTTTACGTCGTTCCTTATTTCTGCAAACAGAATGGAGATTGAAGGAGACTACATTGGGCTGCTCCTGCTCACCGCCGCTGGATATGATCCTCGGGTGGCACCAATGGTGTATGAGAAGCTGGAGAAGATCACCGGGGACTACCTCTCCACTCACCCATCCAGCAGGAAGAGAGCGGATCTTCTGTCTCGGGCCCACGTCATGGGCGAAGCTCTGGCCATATACCGGGTGACATTGCTGACCGGGGGGTGGAGGGCTTTTTCTGATGGGGTTTGCTCTCCCTGTCGTGGGTTCAGCCGTGATCACCATGATTTTGGGCTCACAGATCTATTCTGCCCAGGAATTGCGGAAGTCCAATCTGGCAGGTGAGGGACCATATGAACGATTTCTCTCTATTTCCTAGTTGTATTTTCAGTTCAACAAGCTCGCCAGCGGAACCGGAGCTGAATGGTATGAAAAGACCGAAAATGTTCCATCAATTTCTCGCTCCGTACCAAATAAATGGATCTGCATGGGTATCATAAGATGGCCGCTGTGTTATTGGGCCGGTAAGCCCACAAAAACTCGGCCTAATATCTACTTTTGCTGGGCCAATTCCCCTTCCCCCCTCCCCGTCCTCTCTCTCTCTCTCTCACACACACACACACTCTCTCTCGCTATATGTATATATATATATATATATTGATAGATACTTTTAAACTCTATTCATACGTTAGGCCATTCCGAGGAAGGACGATCTGCGTAAAATTCAAGGTGACGTGAGCGCATCCGTCGTGATCTGCCCGCAAAAGCCGACTTTCCGAGAACTCGAAGTGCCGTGGATAAGCTCGAACGCCACGAGGAAGGTGACTTGCTACGGACCTCACGCTCCTCTCCACGGTCAAGATAGGGAGGGTAGAGGGGGATATTGAGAAATATTAAAAAGCCGTGGGTCTAAACGCAGACCATATTATTAAACTACCATCCCCCGGGGAATTCCCCTGTTTCCTGCAACCGCCTCTGTTCTGGACATTCAGCAGTGCTAATGGAATCCTTCGTCCTGGGGATGTTACCGGCGGTGGCGTTGGCGGTGGCGCTGGCCGCCACCATCGTCCTCGGCCACCGGCTTCTGTGGCGAGGGGCACAAGGCCGGCGACGCAGGTACCATCCCGTCGCCGGCACCGTCTTGGATCAGGTCCTCCACTTCGACAAGATTTACGACTACCTGACGGAGCTCGCCCGTCGCCACAAGACCTTCCGGGTGCTCGTGGGGTTCCGCTACGAGATCTACACCTGCGACCCCGCGGTCGTCGAGCACATCCTCTCCTCCAACTTCCGCGGCTACGGCAAGGTGAGTGCCGTTGGCGAATTCCTTCATCAAGTTCTCGTTGTTGCCCTCGTCTTGCTGCTGACGACGGGGGCGGATTAGGGCTGGTATTTCTACGAGACAATGGAGGCTCTCCTGGGGGACGGAATCTTCGTGGTGGACGGGAGCAAGTGGCTCCACCAGAGGAAGCTCTCCAGCCGCCAGTTCTCCACGAGATTCCTGAGGGACTACAGCGGCTCTGTTTTCAAGAACAACGCTACCAAGCTCGCCGAGGTCATCTCCGACGCCGCCGCCTCCGACGAGGTCATAGACGTTCAGGCAAGTCGCTCTTCCCACCTCGGCGATAAGGATTCTCTGAAACGCACACTCCGGTTCTTATTCAATCTCCATCGTTTTTCCATTTTAACAGGAGCTGTTCATGAAATCGACGATGGACTCGATATTCGAGGTCGCGTTCGGCGTCCAGCTGAACTGCGTGCAGGGTTCCGACAAGGAAGCGGCCGAGTTTGCGCGAGCATTCGACGAATCGAGCGCGCTGATCATGTGGCGCTTCGTCAAACCCCTGTGGAAGCTGGAGAGGTTTCTCAACGTGGGGTCAGAAGCGGTGTTGAGGAAGAACATCAATAGAGTGGACGAGTACGTCTACAAGATGATCCACGCGAAGATCTCCCGGGGAGAAGAGCAGGTTGTGGACCTGTTGCTTGCACTCATCTCCTCCATCTCGCCTTCTTCCTTTTTCTCGCTCTGTTCGAGCACTCACGGAAGTGTATGGCGGCCCTTGCAGCTGAAGCAGGAGTCGGACATCCTGTCGAGGTTTCTGCAGGAGAGAGCGGAGGACCCTACGGAGATGAGTCTCAAGTACTTGAGGGATATCATTCTCAGCTTCGTCATCGCCGGGAAGGACACCACAGCAGGAACTCTGTCCTGGTTCTTCCACATGCTCTGCAAGCACCCGTTTGTGCAGGAGAAGATCTCTCGAGAAGTGGGGACCGTCCTCGGAGAGGCTGAGGCTAAGGCCGAGTTGTCCTTCGGAGGGTTTGCCGGCTGCATCACGGAGGAGGCGCTGGAGAAGATGAACTACCTCCGGGCGGCTCTGTCTGAGACGCTGCGGCTCTACCCGGCCGTCCCTCTGGTCAGTGGAAGCATCAGTGAACGTTACTGATATTTGTCCAAGCTACCTGGTTCGATTATGCTGATGATGTTTGGCCTTTTTATTGGTTTGAAGGATAGCAAGGTGTGTTTGGCAGACGACAGGCTTCCTGATGGGTTCGACGTGGTCGAAGGGGAGGTGATCAATTTTCAACCCTACGCTATGGGTAGGATGAAGTACATCTGGGGCGAGGACGCAGAGGACTTCCGTCCGGAGAGATGGCTGGACGAAGACGGGGTGTTCCGCCATGAGAGCCCCTACAAATTCACGGCGTTCCAGGTGAGGGAAGAAGAAGACGGGAGACCGGTCCTCCTCCATTAACAGATCTTTGTACTGACTTTGGGGTTCGCTTTCTGAACGGGACGCAGGCGGGGCCGCGTCTGTGCTTGGGGAAGGAGTTCGCTTACAGGCAGATGACGATCTTCGCGGCGGTCCTTCTCCGGTTCTTCGAGTTCAAACTGGCCGACGAGAAGAAGGCGGTGGAGTACAAGCCCATGCTGACTCTCCACATCAACGGGGGACTCCGCCTTCATGCTTTCCAAAAATGAGGACGACGATGGCGAAAACCACCGAGAGGAGGTACAGCATGCGGGTGGAGGGCAAGCGACCTTACTTTGTTCGCCACTTGGAGAATCAGCGTCCGCATAGCTACGTCTTGGCTGCGGACTTTTCTGTATAGCCATTGAAGTGTGAAAGCCGATCCCCGATCTTTCCACAGTTGAACGGTGACCTTCGGTGTGGATTTCGGACAAAATAAATATCGTCTGTCTATGTAGCGGAATGTGGAGAGTCAACATGGTTATGTACTGCACCGCCTTCCGAGGATGACGAGGACGATGATGACAACCATCGAATAGAGGTGGTACAGCTTGCGGGTGGAGGGCAATCAACCTTACTTTGTTCGCCACGTTTAGAATCAGTGTCCACATCGCCACGTCGAGGCTGCGGACTTTTCTACATGGCGATTGATGTGTGAAAGCCGACCCCCGATTTTCCGCTGTTGAACGGTGGCCTTTGGTGCGGATTTCGGATAAAATAAATATGGTCGGTGTATCTAGAAGCTCACCCTGGAATAAATATCTCCATGAAATTCTGTCTGGTCTGCGAAGATAACAGGAATAGTTCGAGAAATCCACAAAGGACTCCATCGTTGAAGTTTTATTCAGAACTGAGGTCAACAATCTGCTGGGGACGAGCACTGGGACTATGAATCTCGTGAGAGTATTTGATGAGTCAGGGCTAGCTAATGAGTAGGCAGTGCAATAATCCCTTATGTAAGGCCTTGTGGTTCCTTAATGTGGGGTAGGAAGCGATTATCAAGGAAAACATCATAATTTTCAATGACTTCATGTACAAGATGATTTAGTCTAAGGTCGTAAGTTTGTGTTTTTACGTATAGATTAATTAACTTCATATTATTTCGATAATTTTTAGAAATTAATTAGAAATCATAAAGTTGATGATGTGGAATATGAATTTGATTGGAGATTGATATATTAGGCAAAATTAAGGGATCTAGATGTTGAATATGTATACGGACAAATATTTCAATTGAAGGACTAAGGTGTAGAAGAATTAAATTAATGATCTTGATCATATGGCATATCTCATACCATTGTAATTCTCATCAAAGGCATAAATGTTAGAATATTTAAGCTTTAATATAGTGCAAGGTCTGTGTTAGGTGAGTCTATCATCATCTTATGTACAAAAAATCATATGCTAAATGTAAAAAAATCAGAAAGGAATTGACTTATCTAAACAAGAAATTGAAATCCTGATTAAAGAACAGGAAAGATTGAAAATAGATTTGCAAGACGTTAAGGAGAAATGTGATGATCCTGAATTTGTATTTAATGATCATAAATTATCAGACCTGAAAACTCAAAATACAGGGATTCAAACTTGTTTCGATAAAATTAGTGAGAGGAAAAAAAAAATGTAGTGATAAAAGTCCAGTGTAAACGTAATAACTATTACTATTTATAATACCATATAAATTGTGAACATATGAGAGAAAACATTATTGGAGTAGGCAACAATTGGCTCATCCGAAATTCAAATTTTGCGCATTCTATAGAAAGAGAACTATCCAAGTTTGGGTACCTAAACCTATTAGATGTTCTAGAAGTCATCATATTAAGAAGCAATTTAGACTAAAAAATTAAATTAATAACTTGATAGTGAGAAAAGGTAAAACAACCTTGTATGCCAAAAATTACATATGAGTAAATTAGAAAAAGCTGCCCCAAAGAAATATGGGTCTCATTATTGAAATAATAATTTTTTTCATAAGAACCTTCAAAACATCAATAGAACTTTATGAGTAGAAGATAAATTAAGATAAGTAGATAGATTTATCTATCTATATGTATATACCAGCACGAATACACATTACAAGATAAATAACTTCACTGATGGTATTACATTAGTGTTGTATAATGATTGACGTAAGTTTTAGTATTGGAATATTTTTGGTATTTTAACTATATTTCATTGACATATGAGATGTAAATTATCAAACCTTCTAAAATTTTAGAAAAGTATTTGTAGAAAATATTCACTTTTAATGTAGATGACTTGAACGATATACTTTGTGATTGTGTTAAGGGAAGATGAAGTAGACTGTGTCACTAAAATCCTCTTGAATTTTCTTGTTAGAAATAAAGCTCAAATATCTCAAAATAAGTTCATCAAATGTTCATTTATTAAATTTAATCTAAAAAATGATGAAGTTATACATAATTTGAGGTACGTGGCAATGGCGAGAGAGAGAGAAGAGGGTTTTGCTATCGATATTATGAAGTACCCCAAATTTATTCTTAAGAATTTTGCTTCACCTTGAATATCCATTTTAGGCCAATGGGCTTGCATCCCTTCTAAGGTTGGATGAGACTTCATGTGTTATATTTCTTGATTACTTCAATTTCTTTCTCCATAATTTTTTTCTATATTTCTTGTGCCATTGCTTTTTCGATATGAGTTGGGCTTCTCATACATTAAGTGACACTTTTCAGTCTCTTTATAGACCTAGTTTGTGTCTTTATATCTTCTTGGGTAGTGATAAGTTTTTATTATTATGAGTTAATAATTAGTAAATAATATATTTTTAGCCTTAAGTCATGATAAATAGATTTATATTTATGTTAAAGTGTGAAAAGTAGTTTTCAATTGATTAACATGAATTTTTGGGTAATTATATGATTTTATATGATTTTTATAGTCTTACTTTTGAGATAAATGAAGAACAAGAAATAAAAATAAAAATATTATAAAATGGGGGGACTCGCTGGCCAATCGGGCCCACAAGCAAGTAGGAAGCGTAGTCGGGGAGTAGCCGCGAGCAAGGGCTCGGACGGCTTGAACCAATGGGGGCACGTGTGCGCACTCCCCTTCTACATCACTAGTGACCAGCTGGCTGTGGGACAAGGAGTGGTTGTACATACACGAGAAAGAGACTTTGCTTAAAAATGTAACATTACTATATATTCACCCGAAAATTTAGTGCACAACCAATGTGAGACTAAACCTGTCACCTTCCTTAGAAGAGGCAGGGGACAATCAGCACGGGTTCGAATCCTCCTAGAGCCATAACTCATATTTTTATTTGATTATCGTGACTTTCTTGTAAATTGTCAGTGAAATATTAAGTAACTAGAATCGCTAGATCATCAATGAAAATCTCATCAACATGATTTGTGGAGTATTGTTACTCAAATTGCTGAAAGATTTGCGATAAAAGGATCGCAAATCCATCGAGTAAATCATCTCCGATTAATTGACGAATAAGTCATCGTCGAGAAGAGGACGATATACTGGGAGATGAGTCGCCACCTCTTAAGAGCGTACCAAATGCGATGAAGAGCCTCCTCTTACTGCGCGGACCTGAGGATGAAGCTCCCTAACACGCGCCCCACCTCCATCCAGCGCCTCTCTGTTAGGTGATAGCCACTAGAGAGCCGCAAAGTCGCTATTTTTCTACTCTACCGGGTGACAGCTGTCGGAGATGACTCGACGACCCATTTCATTAATCTCTAGACTTCACGAGAAGATCTAGAGATTGCCCACATTGTCTTTATCTAAAGAGAGCCTTCGAGGCTATGGACATTGTACAACGATCCTCTCGAACGCTCAAGATTATGGTGCATTGCTGATGCATCACCGTTGCGATGCCGGAACTCTGTTTTCCTACTTTCAACTTACTTTATACTTCATTTAGTGATGATTTTTATGATTTTAATTTACCAAAATATACTTCGTTCTATTATGATTCTTCTGGCTTTTACATCTCTTAATTTGATTGATTAAATCATTTGTAATCACTTACGTAAGAATTGCTGGGTAGAACTCTATTTTTGTCCGATTCGCGTTCGCCGGGCACTAACGTCATCCTAATGTCTGCACCCTTATTTCCCTTTTTCATGAATTTTAAATATATTTCCTTTTTATTTCTTAGTATAAAATTCATAAAAAATCGTATTCATTGAGAAAAATTCTGAATAATTACTAGATATTATATTACATCCTTGTGATTGACTTAAAAAATTACCGCTATTTTTAGAAGTTTTATTGAATTATAATTGATATATTTTTTCAGAAATACTTCTAAATATCTGAAAAGTCATATTTTCTAATTTTATAAATTTTAGATTTACGTGATTTAATATACAATAACTAAGTCATGTCAGGCAGTCTTTCTCTATGAATGAAGATCTATCTTGTTCATGATCATAGAAACTTTTGGGTCTTTCTTTATAGTCAATATGGTCAACTTGAGTTTCCTCTACATCAGTTGAATCAATAAAAGATGAAAAATAGAGTTGATCAGTGTGATTCCAATCTTACTATCTTCTTCGAAAATTATATCTCTACTGATGTGAACTTTACCATCTTGTAGATTACAGCACCTATAACCCTTCATGCTAGCTTCATAGCCTATGAAGATCATATGTTTACCTCTATCTTGTAGTTTTGTTAGTCATTGTCCAAGTGTCTTCACATGGGCCAGTGAGCTAAATATTCTAAGATGGGTTACATTTGGCTTTAAACTGGTTTATGCTTCATACAACATAGCTCCATCTAAGTTCTTAGTGGAAGATTGATTCAAGATGAAGACACTTGTGCTCACAGCTTTGCCCCAGAGTTCAAAAGGTAATTTTTTTTCTTTCAACATGCTTTAGACCATCTCCATGAGTGTTATGTTTCTCTTTTCTATAATGCTATTTTGTTGAGTTGAATAAGGGATAGAGAGTTGTTGTTTCACTCTATGTTGAATGTATAAAAAATAAAACTCAATAGAAGTAAATTCTCCCCCCTTATTAGTTCTTAGAGTTCCCACTTTTTCTCCTTTCTCTAGCTAAGGCATTGTCTTGAACTTCACAAATACTTTATTTTTCTGCCTCAACATTGCAACCCACATCAGCCTTGAGTAGTCATCCACAAGAAGAAGGAAGTACCTATTTCCTCCATAAGTAGTAGGAGAGATGGGCCTACATATGTCTCCATGAACAAGCTCCAATGCCCTAGTAGCTTTGAATTGAGAAGAGGACGAGAATGGACTTATGTGTTGCTTACTAGTAACACAATCTCAATAGAGATTATCCAGGATGTTAATTATAGGCAATCCTTTCACCATGTTATAGGAGGAGAGATCTTTCAATGAATAAAACTTTAAGTGCCCATACCTTCTATGCCATCTCCAATTTGCTTCATTGCACCCTTTTGAAATAAGATAATGTTCTTTAATTTGCGACTATAGTAAATACAGTCTTCCCTATGACTTCACTTTTTCTAGAAGTCTTTTGTGCTGATCATAAATAGTAAGGAAACCAGATGCCATCACCATCTTGAATCTTTGATCACTTAGATGATCGAGATTTAGAATGTTGGTCTTGAGTGTAGGGGCATATAGGACATTACTGAGTTTCAATTTACTTTCATCCTAAAAATTCACTAGAATACTTCCTTTGCTAGAGATGTCAATGTTGGATCCATCACCAAACTTTACTACACCACCTGATTTATCATCAAGATCACAAAACAAGCTTCATCTGCATGTTATATGATTTGTGGCACCAGTGTTCAGGTACCACATTCCCTCTTCAACCTAAGTTTCTTGTGTTCCTTGTAGCAAAAAATCATCAATTTCTACCATGAGAAGTGTGGATTCAACCTTTTCTTTAGTATTAGCAAGGTGAACTTTCTCTTCTATTTTCTTTGCATAGCATTCAGAAGCATAATATCCCATCTTGTCACAATTATAACATTTTACCTTAGATTTGCCTTTAGGTTTCTAGTTCTCACCAGTACTTTTGTCATTGCCTCTTCCTCTGCCTCAGCTGTGTCTTCTATCTTGACTGCGTCCTTTGCCTTGAGAACCTTCTCCTCTTGATTTCTCGGTACCATGTGAAGAGGACTTAATTCTTTTTTTCTCTACTGACGAGTCTTGAGCTTCTCTTTATAGACTTTTAGTGATCCCACTACTTCTTAAAAGGGCATTGAATCTATATCACCAAATTTCTGAGGAGGTATAGTGATGGGGTCAAACTTTGCAGGAGTTGCCCAAAGAAATTTTGCAACTACAGTGCTTTCTTCCATCTTTTCCCCCAAATTTCTGATTTGAGTAACTACTTGAGACAAATTTCTGAAGAAATCCGATACAGTCTCTTCATTTTTCATTTGCAACATTTCAAAATCTCATATGAGACCTTAAAGTTTTGATTTCGTGAGGCAAGTAACTCCCACGTTTTTACATTTCTTTCGCTGTTTTGGTGATGTCGAGTTGCGATTGGATGTCTTCAGACACCGCTCCAAGCATCACGGACAAAGCTTGTCGATCCTTCTTTCTTACTACTATCTCTAATTCAATAGCTTCCCACAGACTATGAGCCTCAAAGTGGAGTTGCATCCGCATCGCCCATAATGGATAGTTGGCCTTGGACAATACCGGGAACGTACCTAGGTATCTGGCATCTCTAGGTCCTTTTGTAGCTCTGCTTGCGGTGAGGTCTCTCTTGCCTTCCGTAGCATCTCCATGGCGCAGCATCATGTCTTCTCTCATAAACCAGCAGCTCTGATACCAAATGTTGGGAGCAAAAACTTGCTCGAGGATCGTGTGAGAAAAGAAGAAGAATCAAGACTAGGATTTCAAAAACACAACAGAAATCCCCTCTAAGTTTCATCAAACATAAGAAGTACATTTATAGGAGAGAGAGAGAATAACATGCACTAGAGATAGTTACGATCCGTGGAACCCACGTTCCCACTTAACTCCTAATCCAGCCGTTATAACTCAGTGGAGTTTTTGCCGACTCCAGCAATCTTCACAGACACGTTCTTTGACTGGGCTTAATGCCTTCAACCTCAACAGGATGCGATGTTGATCTACTTAGACGATGAAGATAGTGGCCCATGCAAGGTGAAAGAGGGTACCCCAACAGAAAATGGATTAGTCGATCTTCTGTAATGAGATCAAATACTTGACAAATGGGATTCTTAGTAAACATTAGAATGGTGATATACTGGGCTCTTCTAGTCAACTTAAAATAGCTACAGTTCTTCAACTAGCATACAGAGGCACTTGTGATCAGCATTCAGGCTTTGGGGCGTGCTGGTCAAATACACGTGAATTTCGTTACTCATATGTTGCATTGAAACTATCCCAATACCATAAGACTTCCATAGGGATTCATATGATTATTCTTGATGCTAGGATTTGCATCGGGCACGTCTTATACAATAGGGAAGGAGGGCAACCGGTTACCAGTATGACTCTTCCAGAAACTACGATCTAAGGCTGACTCGCAGGCGCAGCCCCTGCATCAGCAGCGTTATCATGGTTCGGTAGCGGATGTCCTTCCCGTCGTCGGCCATCTCGAACTTGAAGAAGTGGAGGAGGACGGCCGCGATGATCTTCATCTGCCTGTAAGCGAATTCCCTCCCAAGACAAACACGGGGGCCCCCCTGTTCGTTTTAAAGAAGGGATTAGATGAGTCTTAGCGGAGAAAAACAAAGGTTAAAAGGAAGGGAGGTTTTCACCTGGAAGGCGGTGAATTTGAAAGGACTCTCATGGCGGAGACTCCCCCCCTCGTCCAGCCACCTCTCCGGGCGGAAGTCCTCCGCATCGTCGCCCCACAGGTCCTTCAGCCTGCCCATGCTGTATGGCAGATAGGTGACCATGTCCCCAGCTTTAACGTCGAACCCACTTGGCAGCGTATCGTCTGAGAAACACATCTTGGAGTCCTTTTCATATGGAAAAACATCAAACGGTGTTACTCCCAGAGCTTTGTTTGAGTGTCACACAATTTCCCCAGGCAAATTAAAGGCGGTGGGGTTGGATGTCACCTGTGGGACGCTGGGGTAGAGACGCAGCGTCTCGTTCAGCGCGGCGTGGAGGTACGGCAGGTCGTTGACGAGCCCAAGGTTCTCTGTGAACTCTGCCATGGACAACCCGGAGGATCTCGCCTTGGTCGCCTCGTCCACCTGTTCCGCCAACTTCTCCTGCACATCCGGGTGCTTGCACATCATGTAGAAGAACCAGGACAGGGCAGTAGCCGTGGTGTCCTTTCCGGCGACCATGAAGTTGAGAACGGTATCCCTCAGGTACTTTCTGGTTATATTTTCCGGCTCTTTCTGCCTCGCCTCCAGGAACCTCGACAGTATGTCGTCCTTCTTCATCTGCCGCCAGGAGGGTAATTGGCATCAGGGTGAGTGAAACATCGTGATGGAAGATGGAGGCGGAGGATGGGGAGACCAACCAAGTCGACCCTCCCTTGAGACATCTGTTCAAGTTTCTCGTCGATGATCTTGTAAATGAAGTTGTCGATAATTGTCATGTTTCTCCTCAATGCGGCCTCGGTTCCAACGTTCAGGGCCCTCTTGACCTTCCACAAGACGTCTGTGTATCGCCAGATCACCAGCTCGCTGGAATCGTCGAAAGCCTTGGAGAATCGGGCCTCTTCCTCGTTTCTTCCGCGGAGGGTGTCGAGCTTCATGCCGAGTCCGACTTTAAATATGGAATCCATCGTAGATCTCATAATCAAGTCCTGCGGAGAGCCGTGAATAACCATCCTTCATAGAAATATTAAATTCGTCGGCACGACCACGAAACTTACTTGGATGTCAACTGGCTGGTTCGAGCTCACCGCCTCCGAGATAACCTTCGCTAGCCTCACGGCGTCTTGTTTGAAGATGTTGCTGCTGTAGTCCCTCAGGTTCCTCGTTGAGAACTCATGGCTTGCGAGCTTCCTCTGGTGCCGCCACTTTTCGCCGTCGACGCCGAAGATCCCGTCGCCGAGGAGGTCCTCGAGGTTGTCACGGTTGTACGACCCCTGCAAGATTGAAGCAAGGGTCACGCCGATTCAAGCACCAGCTAGTATGGGCTTGTGGACGGGGGCAATTCTATGTGGAAAGATCTGCAGTAGCTGGTGGGCATCTTTCGATGAACCAGCCGCTCCCCTAAACTCACCTTGCCGTAGTTGGCGAAGTTGGTGCTGAGGATGTACTCCACGTCACGGGGGTCCGCCAGGTAAACGTATCCCCGGCTGGGGTGGAACAGCCTGAAGCATTTGAACCTGCGGGCTTGGTCTGTGTGGTAGTCGTGGATTCTGGGGAAGTTGATGGCCTGATTCAAGATGGAACCCACCAATGGTGCGTATCTCTTCTTCCTCTTTCCCGGCTGTCTCTGCCGGAGGAGCACTCGGACACAGAGGAGCCCAAGAAGCAGCGCTATGGCTGTAGCTGCGAGGACGGGACCGCCGGACAAGACAGCCTCCATGGCGAGCGGATCGCTGTTTCGCGGCTAATCGCCGGGGCTGAGGACGTCGCAGAATGCCTTGATAATAAGGCTTCCCCCGCGCTTTTATAGAGTCGGTTATTCTAAGAGTCATATCGTACCGAACAGGGAAATCCTCCAGCTAATTTGTTATTTTACGTCAAAGAAGATAGGTGCGAGGCGAACGGTGTCCACGTGGCAGTGATGCCTCGCATGACAATTTTTCAAAGATTAGGTCATTTAATTATATCTTAGAGAGGCCACGCGAGTCCTTTTAAGAAGCTCGTTTTTTTCATTTGGTCCAAGTCGTGATAAATTGTACAACTATCCGTATATAATCCAATAGTTAGTTTCCTGTCACAAGTGAATAAATTTCTGATACTTTATTTTCATTTTTGATAATTCTGTTAACTAGTTTAAGAGATGGTGGTATTTTCTTGATAATGGGAAATGTGTTTATTTATTGACGTTTTTAAATAACCATATTTCAGTTATAGACAATGGTACAAGTAATAAATATATCACATTCAAGCTATGTAATCACCAGTTATGTTAGTGAATCTATTTCTATGTGAAAGCTAATTAAACAGCCATTAAAGACTGTTGGACCACGGGGACTGGGGAGGTTAATGCCTGGGTGGGAAGGAGAACAACGCCTCATACCGCACGCTACGTGGGCGTCCACAAGCAATTAAATTCCCTCTTGCACATAAATGCTCTCTTGGGTCTCTTGTACTCGCGGGCAGTGATGCAATTGGCTGAAAGAGGTAGGATGAGATGTGTTACAAAATAAAAAGAAATTATTATTATTATTTTTTGGCTAATTGGTGGGTTATTGCTGATGTAGAGGATGACACCGTGATTACATGTGGAAGGACAATGGATGTTATTTATCCTTCATGTCATGCAAGCGGATCGGAATAACCATAACAGGGCATTTTTAAAAAGTAATTTTGAAGTTATTTCAATTTTCCTAGGATTCTAATTGAGATCAGTTAATCTAAATCAATGTTAAATGATTGAAATTCGAATTGATATTAAGTCTTGGTTTTTAATTTTCTTTTGGTTCTGTTTAAGATGGTCCATTACTATTGTTGTAGGCACTAAGGTAAATCCTTTGATTCCCCAAAATGACTCTCCATCATGTAGTCCAATATTGAGATTTTTGTTGGATGAAGGAAATGAAATATTGTTAGGTCAATTCCCTCACAAGTGAATCATAAGTGTCTTATTACTTCTTGAAATTTAGTAAAAATAAATTATTGAAAAGGGCTGACGATGATCCAAGGGAGCTGAGTTGGTCGGAGAGCCCAATTCATATCATATTACTCAATTTTAGACCTAATTTTTGTGTTGTAAGAAGGTTAACCTTCTCATGTTATTAATATTCATCGTGACTCTCGACTACATGAAATGAATTGCTCACCATGTATTGGAATGATGATGTCTGATGAAGGGACATTAGATATTGTGGAGGTATTGACCCTTCACATTTAAAGTGGAATTCACGACATCTTACCAGAAAAACTTTGTTGACCATATTATTGTAATTCCTTGCTTTATACTACTTATCAATGAGTAGCGATAGGATGCCCAATCACAGGTGCCCACAAGTCCAGCCTACCGGCCCTTAAATTGTCGGGGTATGGGCTGACACTCAGTCTAACGAAGAGCCGGCCCGGCATTTTCTCCCCGTCGTAGTCGAGATGTCGTCCGAGGATTCAGGCCGGCCCGGCGTCGCATGCGTAAAGGACTGGAGTCAAAATTTGTGGATTCCCAGTTGAGATGAAGGATCACCATGGGAACTCATAGGATCCTTCAATAAATGAACATGCCATCCAGTCTTGACGGGAATGACGTTAATCCAAACGAGGTTGCTAGAATTGTGTTAATGAATGAGTAGCGATATGCCGCACAACCACAGGTGCCCAGAAGTCTATGAATGCGGCCTCTTTATTGTCCGCACTTGGGGTCACTATTCAATCTAACAACGAGTAGTCCCTGTTATGTCCCTGCCAGTTCTCTCTAAATCCTCAGCAAGAAAGGCCCCACATCTCTCTGTCTCGCTCTCTCTCTCTCTCTCTCTCTCTCTCTCTGTGTATTAACGTCTCCCCCCATCTCGTGCCCGTAAATAGAAAGGTGAGAAAGGGCGACCCGGCATTTTCTCCGCGTCATAATGGGGATGTCGTCCGAGGATTCAGACCGGCCCGGCGTCGATGGCGTAGAAGAACGGATGCAAGATATATGGATCTCCGAGTTGAGATGAAGGATCTCGCAAAGACTTAAAAGGAAATTCATAGCATCTTTCAAAAGATGAACGTGCGATCAGGTTTTGACGGGAATGACGTTAAGATGACGGGAAGGTTGCTACAATTACATTAAAGAATGGGTAGCGATATCCCACATAACAACAGGTACCCAGAAGTCTATGATTGCGGCCTCTTTATTGTCCGGACTTGGGGTTCACTATTCAATCTAACAACGAGTAGTCACCGTTATGTTCCCGCCAGTTCTCTCTAAATCCTCATCAAGAAAGCTCCCACATGTCTGTATGTCCTTCGCTCTCTTCCACTCTGTCTGTTTGTAGTCACGTGTCCCTATCTTGTGCCACCAAATAGAAAGACGAGAAAGGGCGACCCGGCGTTTTCTCCGCGTCGTAGTTGGGACGTCGTCGGACAATTCAGGCCGGCCCGGCGTCGAATGCTTGAAAGAATGGATTTCAGGCGAAGGAACTCGCGAAGACTCGCAACGCATTCAGAAAACGAACCTGTGGCCAGGTCTTGAGGAGGATAACGTCGATGTCGAAGAAGGTTGCGAGAATTATACTTCTCATGAATAAGTTGTGATACGCCACACAAGGTACCCAGAAGTTTTGCCATGCGCCCCTTTATTGCCTCGAGTTGGGGCTGGCATTTAAGTCTAGCGAAGAGGCTTCTCGAATGTGTCCCCGCCACGTCTCTTTCCCACAGAATTCCCACATCTCTCTCTCTCTACTGACGTGTCCCTATCTCGTGGCACTAAATAGAGAGACCAGAAAGAGCAGCCCAGACTTTTCTTCGCGTCCCAGTAGGGATGTCGTCTCGAGGATTCGGGGGTGGAATGGATGCCGGACATGTGGAGATCCCCAGTTAAGATCAAGGAGCCTTCGAAGACTCGCAGCGCATTCAGTAATCGAACGTGTCATTAGGTCTTGATGGCAATTACGTCGATGTGGAATAGGATTGCTAGCATTATACTTCTGGTGAATGAGTAGGGATATGCCACATAATCACTGGTTCCCTGAAGTCTAGCCATCGAATGTGCTCTACCACGTCTCTCCAAATCCTCACTCCACATCTCTCTCTCTTTCTCTCTCTCTCTACTAATGTGTCCCTATCTAGTGGCGGTCTAGGATTTTATCTCGTGTCTAAATCTAACAAAGAACTATATAGATACCCAACATAATGTATGCAAATGTGGCTGACTATATGATATTTGATATAGTCTGGACTACACCTCATTTATAACATGCTGTTAGTGTTGTCAATAATATATGAAAAATTTAGAAAAACTATTATAATATGATAAATTTGGTTTTGTCTCGTGGTCTGACATCAAATGTGCAATGATTATCATTGATTCTGTCATAATAAATTTGGTTCATGCTTTCTCAATCTACTTTTTCTTAGTCATTAATAACCTATTACTATAGTTCATTTTTCACTTTGGTAATCTCATCCATGATTTGCACACAATCAACATATCATCATCATATAACATGAACATAATAGACATAATTTTTACTGAGGAAATAAAAATAGACGCAACCAGCTTACTTCCAGAATTTTACAACATTGTTTCATCTAAAACATATGCTGTATAGAATTATCATTTTTTTACCAAAAGAGTCATGAAATAAATATTCAGTTATTTCATGATATATTTTTAATGTTTTAAATTATTGAAAATGATTATTTCTAGTCATTTTGACTCCAACTTGCGAATGGCACATGGTACATTTGTAGTTATTGTGATAGTTTGTTTTAACCTTATTTCTCACTTCTTCAATGGCATTTTATTAATTAATGAAGGTGAGTTGTCTAGTTTGATTAATCCTTTTTCCAAAAGCGTAGGAATAACATATTTGATCGCAATGAATCATGATTTTTTTCTGAAAGCTCTCCAAAATTTGGTTTGTGTTATCATAATATCGCATTGAAATGGCACGGAAGAACCCAATAACTATTACATTCTTTATCAAGGGGACATTATCCACAAAAATGTCCTAGACACATAGGGCGTCTTCTATAGTGAATGGTTTACAAGGCCTTCTCATTAGGTTGTCTACCCCAGGTTGAGCCATGACCTAGCGGTTTCCTCATAACTGCCCAGTGAGCTAGTGTTTCAAGTAACGCACCCACAGAAGATAATCAAAAAACCTAGTTTTGAAAGTTTGTAAAGAGGATATACTAGAAAATGTTGGGTACATTGGTATAGACATCATTGTGAAAAGGAATTGTGAAAACTTGCAAAAACTTGTCACAGAAGTAGAGCTATGTAGTCATGGAGCTGCTAGAAATTCAGCAGAATATGGAAGTTGGTACTGAAATAGGATGGAGTTATCACCATAGTCTGTCACTCATCCGCAGTTCTGCTACAGAGGGGAGTGCCACTACGATTGCCACCGCAAGGAGCAAAGGAACTAGTGCAAAAGGGAACCCATGTGTAAGAACGAGGGAATGGAGGAGGCCACGTGAGCCTAGTGCGCGGACGAATTTGTTGCATGGCAGTCTCCCTTCGTAAAGGAGACGCGCACCCTTGGGCCAAAGATATGTGTATACATTTATTTGGATAAAATATTTGCTGATGACTACTCAGAAAACTTAAAAAACTTAAATAATAATTGCATTGAACCATTTGGTTGTGGTTTCATCAGCCCACATCGACACCGTGGTCTGGAACTCAATGGATGATTCAGATTCCAGCTTCTTCAGATATCTTTTGCTTTCCTAATATATTTTCCC